TATTCGGAAGACGCAAGATGACCTCTGGGGCGAGAGCAGCTTGTTGAACCACCGGCCTTCTGCTCTTCATTACTGGAGGAAATGAAAGAATCTATTTCATGCTTTCCAGTGTTTTATTGTAATATATCAGATGATTATATTCTGATAAACCACTAGTGAAATTTATAAAATATAATTTTCACTGTAGCCGGACTATATCTGAATGCGGATGAAAAGAAAATCATAACTAAATGGAATAACAGGCAGAAATAAATGCCGTCATACGTAAATTTTGCTTCTTTAGGAAAATAAAGTCGATGTCACTATAAATCATGGTTAAAATGTAACAAAATTAGAGAAATCTAACAGAACTATATTTCAAAATTGATGATGTGACGTCATGGTGTGATGACGTCACAACGGAGAATGCGCGACGTTACGCGGCATAATCAGTAAAAAATACTTAAAATCACTTAAAAAGCATGAAATAAAAAGAAAATTTATTTGTTTTACATATAAGATTGAAATATATTGCATTCGTGAACACCAGTTATTATATTTTCACTCGTGGCTACGCCACTCGTGAAAATATTGCATCTGGTGTTCACTCAGTGAAATTATATTTCAATCTTACATGCAAAACAAACAAATATCCTCTATCTATATATCTAGCTACCTGAAAGAAGCTCGAACAATCATCAATTAAAGGCAAATCATCTTAACCACTCGGCCAGGAGCTCTGATTATTTATAACGGTTCATTCTTAAACATAACTATACATGTATCTGTATCAGAAATTTTTAAAGGTATAAAGCTATAATTATCTTCTGAACTCTTTGGTTTTTTTGTTGTTGTTTTGGGGGGTTTTTTGGACAGTAAATCTATATTGTTTCAATAATCTTATGGTTGATTCTTGAAAGATTGGAACATAGAATGTTTCTGTTATTTAACACACATGAATATTGTACCTTAATATTGTACAAACAAAATATTACTTTGCTATTTTAAGTGGTTTATCTTTTAAGCGATGATTTTGTGTGTGCGCCATCCGCTTTTTAGGTAATTTTTTACCATATATACCCACCACACTTGCTTTACTCTGTTCCCAATAACTGACATCATTTGAAATTAACATAGCAGATCACTCACATATAATTATATACCCCAAGTGTAAATTTCCTTTGAACCACTGACACCATTTTTAATATTCAAGGGAGGCCACTATTGTACACTTTTTTCTCAAAAGTAATTTCCCTTTGAATCACTGACACCATTTGTTATCGTCTGGAAGGCGACTCATCATACTTACTTTTATCCCCAGCAGCTGCTTACCTTTTACAATCTGGTGCCATTTGTCATCTTACTTTTATCCCCTTCAGTTTCTTCCCTTTGACAATATTGTGCCATTTGTAATCTTCCTTTTATCCCCAGCAGTTTCTTCCCTTTGACAATATGGTGCCATTTGTAATCTTCCTTTATCCCCAGCTGTTACTTCCCTTTGACAATCTGGTGTCATTTGTAATCTTACTTTTATCCCCAGCTGTTACTTCCCTTTGACAATCTGGTGCCATTTGTAATCTTACTTTTATCCAAAGCAGTTACTTCCCTTTGACAATCTGGTGCCATTTGTAATCTTACTTTTATCCCAAGCTGTTACTTCCCTTTGACAATCTGGTGCCATTTGTAATCTTTTATCCCAAGCAGTTACTTCCCTTTGACAATCAGGTGCCATTTGTAAACTTTTATCCCAAGCAGTTACTTCCCTTTGACTATCTGGTGCCATTTGTAATCATAAGAGTTAGACTTTCATATTTTGTCAAACACAAGTAAACATAACCCAAACACTGTATATAAAGATGGATCATTTTATTAATCAACAAAAGGGGCTGATCAGCAATATAACAATGCCATTAATGACTAAATACTTTGGTCAATGTGACCCATTTCGATGAGTGTTTTGATAGTATTAAATAAGGCTATGCAAGTGATTTCAAATATTTCCAATAATAATTTTCTGAAGTTGAAGCATTTGCACTTCCAGTCTGTTTTGTGAGTTTTATAAAAAAAATTATGATACCAGATTTTAGCAGGAACCATATATGGTAATGGATATTTAAACAAGAGCTGTCAGAAGGACAGCGCGCTCGACTTTTTTAGTGCTTGCCATAAAACAAAACTTTGACAGTTAAGGGCACACAAGACTTTAACTAGGAATTTCTAAGTACAAATCAAGAAACATTTTCACAGAGTTATCTTCTCTTGCTTACAGATAGGTCTCATGATGGCACATAAGAACTCCAACTTCCAAAGTAATATCTCAAATGGTTAAGTCAACAAGTGGACAAGAATGAAAATTTTAACTGAGTTTCTAAGTCAAAAAGGGCCATAATTCAAATAAAATCCTTAACAGAATTACCTTCTCCTGCCCATGTTTTGGGACCATGATGGTAAACAAGTATACCAACTTTCAATTTAATATCTCAACCAGTTCAGTCAAAAAGTTGACTGGTACAAAAAAGTTAACCAAGATTCTAAGTCGATAAAAGGCCTTAATTTTTAAAACAAATCCCTGACAGAGTTACCTTCTCTTGCGTACAGATGGGGTAATGATGTGAAATAGCATTAAAAGTTTCAAAGCAATATCTCAAAGGGTTAAGGCAATAAGTGGATTTTACCCATATTCAATGTATTTTCTAAGTCAAAAAGGGGCATAATTCTGTCAAAAACCTTGACAGAGTTATGTCCTCTTGTCTGTTGATGAAGGTCGTGATGGTAAACAAGTATGGTCAGTTTCAAAGCAATACCTCCAATGGTTTTGAAATAAAGTGAGGTGGTACAAAAAACTTAACCAAGCTCAATACACTTTCTAAGTCAAAAAGGGCCATAATTCTGTCAAAAAACCTTGACAGAGTTATGTACTCCTGTCTGTAGATGGAGGTTATGATGGTGAACAAGTATGGTAAGTTTCAAAGCCATACTTGTAATACTTCTGAAATAAAGTGGGGTGGTACGAAAAACTTAACCAAGGTGTGACGCCAACGCCGACGCTAACGCCGACGCTAACGCCGACGCCGACGCCGGGGCGAGTAGGATAGCTCCCCTTTTCATAGAAAAGTCGAGCTAAAAAAGTGCGAATAAATTAAAACGAAAATCCATTTAAGTTGATTTAAAATCACTTTTGTTAAGCCCCCTTTTAACTACAGTATGAAATACACATTCATATTTTATTAAAACAATTTATTGACTAACAACATTTTCAAATATGATCACAGGCTTGGCAAAATAAATAAATAAATAAATAACAAAATTATAACTAATGTTGAATGTGGTCCATGCACTCACACAAATGTGCTTAGATCAAATATTGGAAAGGATAAAAAGGATTGGGGCAAACTAAATTACAGTTTGAAAGAACTTGTCTCTCAGTTAAAAAGGGAGACAACAATGTACATGAATTAATTTTGAGATTTTTTAAAGCTTATAGTGACATTATACTTGTCTGAGGATATATATTGAGTGAACAGATGAAAGTCAAATTATAAAAGTCAATCGACGATTCAGCTCAACTTGACAACAACAAAAATAAACATAATGTCACTTTAATAATTGAGATTAAAACTGGTTACATACAAATAACTGTTAGTGTGCCAATTTATCACATTGACAAAATTTCAGGACATTTTCTAAGTTTCCAAGTAAAAAAGAACATAATTATGTCAAAATGCAATCCAAGAGTTGTGAAAACTTGGCCTTCTGAGTACTTTTATTTAAACTTTTAAATTGAGGTGTGTCATGACAAAACCAACATAATGGGTTTGCGACCAGCATGGATACAGACCAGCCTGTGCATCTGCGCAGTCTGATCAGGATCCATGCTGTTTGCTATCATTTGAAGTTATAGGGCTTGTATATTTTAATCGAACTGCATCATCCTGATCGGATGCGCAGGATGGTCTGGATCCATGTTGGTCGCAAACGCATTATGTTGGTTTTGTCATGGTGCAGCTCAATTAATATCTACACTAAATTTAAAGATAAAGAAATACTATCACAATGGGACGTAACAAAGTGATTCCTACTCGGCCTTCCCTAACACTGTATGGTGAAGGTATAAAAATTTAATATGCAAAAAGCTACAAAATACAACAATAATAAGTTAATCATAGGGCTATGTACAAATAAATTAAGAAAACAAAATGAGCCTAAAGTTTTTATACAACCTATTGTTTAAAAGTATCAACATTATGTTACAATATAATGTGTCCCCATCGTGCAGTAACAGGTTTACTCCTTATATAATTTAATAGGTGTTAACCTGTTACTGCACTAAAGTGACAAAGTATCAGAAATGACCTGAATCGGAGTTGAAATACTGACAACATTAAATACATTTCAATTAACCAGATAGATATTAAACATTTTAAAAAAGACATTTTGCCAAGTGATCTCATTAATTTGATTTTATATTTCAAAATCTATTTAAACCTTACTTCAATTTTGTTATTTAGGAATAGTGATTTAAATTTACCATATTTTAGTCACTCAAAAACAAGGTAAATATATCAAACATTTGGTTACTTACAACTACCATTTCTTATTTCAGATTTTTTAGGTAAAAATGTTTTTAAGATTTCTGTGAAAATCATGTGGTGCCAAACTGACATAACAGAATAATGACATTCTATATTTAATGACATCTGGCAAATCATGTGAAATTATTGTATAATTATTACTTTGAAAATGTACCTGTACTTATTTTCAAAGCTGTAACTGTAAAAGTTTGTTTGTAACTACGGATGACCTGAGAAAACCTCAAATATTCTTAATTCCGAGGTTTTTTTTAAATTTGAGTCAGTTCTACATAATAGACTACACATTGACAATTATTCATTCATAATTTTCAAAACTGACATTCAAGTCTCTATTTCCGCAGAATCTATAGTTTTAGTTACGATATCATTTATATGAAATGAGTTATAGCACTTATTAACTGTTGCACATATATGTCATGTGATAGTTGATTATATGATCTAAAATAGGTTAAAATAGGAAAATATTCCTATCTATCCATCTAGCAATAACAGCAGTGAGCAATAGGCTTACAACAGTAAAATGTTAATATTAAGGATTCTATTCATAATGTACATGTATTGTCATATCAACTGTATAAAAAATAACTTTCATACATAAAGTACATGTAAAGACAAAATAATCATTTTTAAACAAAAAATAAAGACAAAGATCTATGGAAAGCCACAAGCAAAAACTTAAAAGCAAAAGCTCTACGTTCCTTCAATTTAACTACATTGTGTAGATTTTTAAATTCTATAAAGATTGCCAAAGTATGGAAATTTTTTAGAAATAAATAAAAAATTAAATATAAAATTTACAAGATACTGGCACAATGTGATAAATCTCAGCTTTGTGACATATAAATTGTTTTTCTGAGCAATATAATGTGTTCCTCTCTTCTTCTGCTGCAGCATCAAATATGCTGACATCACTTCCTCTTTGATTTGATTGGTTCCCAGTAATATCAAAGCTAGCCAATCAATATCAAGTATTCAAACTGAGGCTAAGGAAGGTTTCCTAAAATCTAATTCCTCCAAACACAATCATGTATGAACATTTCATTTACATGTATATATCTAAACAGTGCTTGCAAAAACTGGCAAGGTTTTTCATGTCTTAAATCTGTTAAAATTCTACTAATCTACCAATAAATTTCAACATGGGCATGGATGTAAAGTTTCTCCTCTTTGCAAGCATTAATTTCCAGTATACAAAAAAAAACTTTTCCGGAATATCTAAATTAAGACATGATGAAATTCATATCTAGCTGCCATTGATTCAATAGACCTTTAAAATCATCCACACATTAAGAATATAAATTACAACCAGGACTTTAAAAACTGATTCCTTGTAAACAAAAAGAAAAACAATAAAATCTTTTTTGTAGATGTTGCTATGGCAAGTTGAAACTCAATTCCTGCTCCCATGGTTTGGTTTCCATTGGTTTCCAATTCTAGAAATTGACCAATCATTACTGAGATGAAACTCAATTCCAGTTTCCATTGGTTCCCTTTGTTGTACCAATTGACCAATCATTATTGAGGATCTGGATTTAAACATGATGAAATCCCTCGCCAGCTTCGGCCGGTTCCCTGAACTCTGAGTGCCAGCCATTCGTTTGGATTGGACACATGGCTAATTTTGTCCTCACTTTCATACACTGACCTCTCCCCTTGAATATAATCCATTGAATTGTCTTCACCTGAAAAGGAAAATGTAGTGAGAAATAAATATCATATTGTAGATTACCAAATAAAATCCACCTGGATTTTAAACTTTCATTTATCATTATTTATATATGTATTTTGACAGTAAAATGCCAAAAAAAGTTTTTGTCCAATCAGCTAATAATTAATATTTAAATGCAAATCCAGCTAAACAGACAGAAATGTTCACAATTTTGTAAAAGGAAAACACTATCAATTAAGATTGAGAATATTTTGGAAAAAAATGCTCTTTTCTTGTTCACAGCAGAATGGTGTGAAATTTCAAGTCAATATCTTTATAGGTTGCTATCACAAAATGTTTGAGCAAGAGCTATTGGTTTTGGACAGCAATCTATCATTCTGACCATATGTTTAGTCTTGAGTCAATACTTTCAGCAGTGATTGTGTCTCTTTAGTCACTGAGGCCAGGGCTAGGACAGAAGCCACACTTCTCCTCTATTTAACATACTGTAACCCAATTTATATTCGCGAATACAAATTTTCGCGTTTTGCCGAGGTCGGACATATTCGCGAATATTAATTTCCGCGTTTTCTTGATTTCCGAAAAAAAAATATTCGCGGATTGGAAAGTCCGATGGGGCAGAAAAATCCATTAGCCGACTATTATTCTTCAATAGTTGAGGTCATTATTGGTGTCTTAAATGGGATAAACAATACGCTAGCCTTATATTGTATTGGTAAGTGAATTGTGATCACAATCAGCAAAACATTTTCTCTATATATGTACATGTACGCATCCTTCGTCTTCATTTTATCTAGAAAAGTCTTTAAGAAATTCAATTTAAGCGTTTCATAAAAAATACCTTCTCCAATAAGGAACTGAACCCACGCCGAGAAAATTATGTTAGATGAGTCCGCAATCTAACCAATTGAGCTATACAGGCTGTTAAGTTTGACGGGTAAAAATCAATACTAGTATGAAACCATCTTGTATTTCACTGTTTGTAATTATGTACACCAAATACCCTTTTGTGATGCTCGATAGGTTTACTTAACAATTCACTCAAACAATAATTTTATAGGATCCAAAAACAATAGCCTTTTGTGATGCTCGATAGTTTTCCCACTTTTGTCAAACGATTTATTCAAACATTTATTTGAGTACTTTGTATGCATAAACTTAGTATAGAAGTGTAAATATGAAGAAACTTAAAACTGACACATGCTCCGTATAGTACCTTATACGGAACGTGATTGACAATAGGCCTACTAGTATTTCATAAACTGTATTAAAATGTGGATGTTTATTTTGATTGCTATATTTACATAGAGTTCTTTTGATATTTATAAAATAGAAGTAGTTAACTTAGTTTGTGTTTTTATTGCTTTATGACAATATTCATAACAATTCATTACTTCCTAACAGGTGCCCGTAAAGTTCGAATATATCCGGTCAAGTAGCTTTGCATAACCACGTCTAAAACTCAAATTTATTCGCGAAATCGTGCGGACTTATTCGCGCAAACAAATATTCGCGCTTCGTGGCCACCCGCGAATAAAGCGAATATTAATTGGTCGCGAATATTCGTTGGGTTACAGTAATCCAATTAAAAAATATATCTTCACCAAGTGCCATTCAGTAACTGACACAAGAGCTAATACAAAAGCTACACTACTCCTTTATTTATTAACATAATCCAATTAAAAAATATATCTTACTATTTTCAGACGCAGATCCTCTGAACTTGCTGGAAGATCGCTTGAATGGCTGCTTCATTAGGATAAGCACAACACCACTGAGTGTTTTTAGTACTGGCAGATCTAGAATGCTTTGTTGTACCGTTTCCATGACGATACTCTGATGTAACCATGACTTCATGTACTTTACATCAAAACCTAGTTGACATGCCCCTGTGTAACTGTGGTAATGAGAGCATCAAAAATAAAAATTATGAAATATTTTCAGCATCCATGATTTTTCAAACTGCTTAGAAAATGACAAGATTTTTTTATAACAAATTTCTATTTATGAGCTGTGTCTATCCATCATTCCTAGTTTACAACCAGTATTACTATCATCTTGCTGTTACAATACTTGCCATGTATTGATATAAATTTCAAATTGATCATTCTTAGGAAATTTTAAATAATAAAATTCATAGCCAATTTTAGTGCTAAAATTTTCCATTCTTAGCCATATTCAATATTAAAATTGTCCATCATTTGCC